ACATTGGTATTCCCATCATTTGATGAAAATAGATATTTGTATCATGATTATGTTTGTCAACTTTGTAAATATTAGAAAAAAAAAAGAAAGAAAAAAATAGCAAAGAAAAGGGCAAAAAAAGAGAAAAAAGTCTATCATAAAAAGATATGAAAAAGAAAAAAAATAGTTTGATAGGAAACTAAAATGTCAAAATGGATTGTTGAAAAGAGTGAAGGGATTGTCAAAATGAATTTGCAAAAAGCTAAGGGATTGTTGAAAAAATGAATCAAAAAAATGAGATATGATACAAGATAACACTTAAACCGAGTCTAGCTAGCATCTAGATCAAACTAGGCCCTATTTAGTTAGTACCTAAGCCCAGATCAGCTAAAACCTTAGCCCAGATTAGCTGGCATTTTAAGCTTAGATTAGCTGACACCTAAGCTCAGATCAATTGGCATCCAAGCCTAGATTAGCTAACACTTTAGCCCAAATTAGCTGGTATCCCGATGATATTTAAGCCCAATTTACCTGAAAAACTAAGCTCAGTCTAGCCGACACTCAAATAAAACCAAGCCCAGTCTAGTTGGCACCCAGATCAAATTAAGCCCAATCAAGCTAGCACCTAAATCTTTAAGACCTCTAGGCAAAATATTTTAAAATTTTTAAATGCCTTTGATGGGAAGAGCATTCAAAGATGTCGAGATTTGTAAGACCTTCGGGCAAAATATTTTAAAATTTCAAAGTTTCAATGTATCTAATTAGGATGAGCATTCAAAAATGTCAGGATTTGTAAAACCTCTGGGCAAAACATTTTAAATTTTCAAAGTTTCAATGCTTCTGATTGGGATGAGCATTCAAAAATGTCAAGATTTGTATAACCTTCGAGTATAATCTCTAAGACCTCTAGGCATAATCGATAAACCTTGAGGGTAAAACACTTTAAATTTTTAAAGTTTCAATACCTCTGATTGGAGAAGCATTCAAAGATGTCGAGATTTGTAAGACTTTCAGGCATGATCTCTTGTTTTATTTTCAAAAGTTGTTGAGTTCTTGTTTAAAAGAGTTTTTAAATTTGTTTTCAAATTATCAAATTAAAAAAATAATCAAGACAAAAAAAAAAGAAAAATAAAAAAAACGAGAAAAACCAAAAATTAAAAAAACCAAAACAAAACAAAACTTTGAAAAATTTTGAATCATTACTCCGGACAAAATTGTTATCTATGTTTTTGTCATATTCCTGATTCTCAGTAATGTACAAAGAATGGTAATTATAAACACTCAATTTTATTTGGCCCAACTCAAATTTGTTTGATTTTTAAATTTGATTTTAACATTTTAATTTGGGCTAACTTAATTGGATTTAATTAAATTAAACTCATTCAGGTTTGTCCCTAATTAATCGTTTTCAAATTGGTTTGCATAATTTGAAGTTCAACCTAATTTAATTTAGATCAATTGGACTTCTATTCAATTTTTACGTTTGATTCAAATAATTTAATTTGAAGGAACCTCAGATCCTAAAGCCACCTTATAAAAAAAATCAAATTCAACAAAACAAAAATAAATATTAGGTTCAGGTTTGGCAAGATTTTGGGAAGATCAGCAATATTGAAAAGTAAGTGAAGGAAAAGAACAACAATATACTGAAAGTTAAGGGAAATTGAATGACGATAAAAATGGTTTTGACAGCTTGAAAATTTAAGCTTTAACCTCAAATCTAATGGTTTAGAAGCATTTTTATGGAAATTTGAGTTTAGATCGATGAACAACGTGTTGAGGATGACATTCGATGAAGGTTTGGGCTAAAAAAAGACACTGACGGCAATGATTGGTGGAGCTATTTGGCTAGTTTTTTGGTAACCAGCACTCTTAGCTTTTGAGAACCTTTGGAGGTTTTTTTTTTTTTTTAAAAGATAGGTTTAAAATGAAATTAAAAAAAAAAAACTAATCTTTTATAGTTGAAAAAAAAATAGACCCACGTTTAAACCCAACCTAACCCGAGTCTGCGCGCTTGACCCATCCCCTAGTGGTAGCTTATCCAACCCCTAAGCTGGTCCAGATGAATCACTTTCAGTTGTGAATCGCTTCTGAACCGATTTGCATTATTGAACAACTCTTAAACTACTTCTGAATCAAGTGAACCATATCTAGGCAACTCGAACCTCGCTTGAATCGGGTTTAACTGCTTTCGAACTGTTGACCAATTTTGATCAATATTTTTTAGGGTAATTTTTTTTTCTTTTACTTCTTTATATGTTTACTAAGTTATTTGTTTGTTTACAAAATTTTAAATAGTGTAGGTTAAAAAAAAAAGAGTGCTAAAAAAATTGAAAAAAAAAAATCCCGATGATGGGATTTCGGTAAGTTCGAATAGACGATTCACAAGAATTCTTTAAGTGAGAAAAGATTTCTAAAAATTACTAATATTGGAATATTTAAAAAAAATTTAATACAAAGATTTTTATTTTTTCTTTAATTTGAATAATTTTATTAAAAAAGATAAAAAATATATAAAATATTTATAAGAGTATGTTTTTTTTTTAGAAAATAAATTTATTTATGTACAATTATATTACAACATAACTTTTAAATATTAATAATTACAAAAAAAAAAGGTAAACACAAGCTTCTGAAAATTATATTCTAAAAAAGTTCGAGCAGTAATTTTTAAGAATCTTTAAGTGAGAAAATTTATTTAAGATGCCGTCAATGTATTAGACCATTTATAATAATTTTCAATAATGATTTCTTATTTTAGTATAAAAAATAAATTTTAAAAAATATTAATTTTATCATATTCTACAATCTACTTATTAAATATAAATTTTGATGATAAATATGAATGATCGATGATAAAATGAGAAAGTTTTTATTAATATTATTAAAATATTAGAATATTTTTAAAATTTTTTAATATGTAAGGTTTTTATTTATTTTTTTCAACAATAAAAAAATATTAAAAAATGAAAAAAAAATTTACAATAAAAAAATTTTAAAAATTAAATTTTAAATATCAAAATTAAGATCATTTTAATCATAATTAAATGATAACACATAATTAATTAATATCATTTTAAATGGACGTTATAAGGGTATTAATTTTTTTTATACGTAATCAACTTTTAGATTCAATCTATTTTGTAAACTCAAAAATTATATTTTTAATAAATTTTAATTAATTTTAAAATTTTATTAAAAAAATAAATTTTAATAAATAACTAATCATATTTAATTAAAAAAAATTAGTGATAATTTTTTTTTACTTTTAAATTTGTTTAACGGTCTAAAAAACCGTTACGATATAAGGTTAGAATACGAAAAAAGGAATCGAAAGCAGTATGAGGATTTTTTGGGAATAAAACAAGGCCAATTGCCAGTAGCAACTAGTGGCTAATGCGGCTGCCAATTGTCGGGAATTGGGTTCAATGGCTGCCGGCCTTTGGGTTGAGTTTTTTGTCTGGAGAGAAAGGGAGAAAAAACAAAGAAAAATGAAACAAAAAACAAATGAAGGCTTTTTATTCTTATAACTGTCCCCTTATTCTTATAATGAAAAAACAGATCATTTCTGTCGTAAAAAATAATTTTATGGGAAATTTTGGATTGGGTTGCGTGGGTTTATCTTTTCCGTCTGTTTTGTCTATCAAAACTCTCAAATTTTGCCACAGCACTATCTCTCTTTTTCTTTTTCTGCCACAATATTTATTGTTCTTTTAACGTTTAACATGAAACTTTAAAACAATTATGTGAAAAGTACGTACGTCTCTACGATTGGTTGCAAGTGATGATTGAATTTTTTTTTCTTTTTTTTTTTTTGCGTGTTGTGGGGTTCTCCGTTAAAATTTTTTTCATCTTCTTCCGTCTTTTGGTGTTCCAGGTAAACTGAAGTCATGAGCCCCTTCTAACCTTTATCCAATCCGTAATTATACCCTTTAGTTAGGATTTTGTTTTTTTTTTTTTTATTTATTTACTTGATTATTTATTTGCTTCTTCTAACATTTATTTAAAATGATTTAATAAGATAAAATTTTAATTTTAATTTTAATTTTTTGTATAATTGAAATATTATTTGTATTAGGTTATTAACATTTTAGAAATAAATAAAACTTTTTTGCTATAATGGAAATATATGGAAACAATCGGTTTTTCCTTGAACATTCTTAAATAAGAAAATCTTTAGAATCTATACAATAAATAAAAACTGTCCCTTGTATTTCAATTTAAAACCAAATCAGATTTGACATTTTAAATGATTTTAGAATTAAAAATATCTTTATAACAATTTACACATAATTGAATCATGATCTATCTTGCTAATGACATAACTCTTTAACCTAAAAAAAATTGATAACATGAAAAATTAATATATTTTTATATCATAAAGTCAAATATATATATATTAAGATATATTATATTTTGAGATTAATTCTATAAAAAATTTATAAATATAAAATAAAAAAAAAAACAAACCTCGACGAAACGTGATCCGAAACCTAGTACCCGTTAATTCTTAAACAAAATTTTTTTCTTTGATCTTTAACTTCATCACAAATCTTTTTAAATTGATTTTATCCTTTTATTAAATAATTCAAATACTTCTTGAATTACCAATTTTTTTTTTATCTCATACAGGCTTGCCCTGTAACTTCTCTTTCGTCATTTACCCTTTATGAGAAGTGATTTTCATATATTGGTCAAAATCATACATACTCATCATTGATTATACTCAAAACCATAGATTTAAATGATTCATTTCTAATGCTTTTTGCATCAAATCTTTCAGTTTCTTTCAACTTCATGTCCAAACCAAGCACTGTAAAAATTGTAAATTAAGACCCAACTTTCAATAAATTACAAATATTTTCCCTAAGGTTATACAAAATAAATACGTTCTCTCATCGTATTAAAATAAAAAATATATTTCGTGTTTAACATGTTAACATAAATTATAATAACTATTTTCATGTTTTATATGTATTTAACATAAAAAAAAATACAACACAAATATACAAATTACCAGATCTACATGGATTACTTACATACCTATATATATGTATATAAATATATATGTATGTGTGTGTTCTTTCTTATTTTTATAAACTTGGTCAAAATGGCGAAATGCTCATATCAAGCGGGGGAAGGAAAAGTTGAAAACTACATACACATTTAGGGAAAAACCGTGCTATCTTAACACTCAATGTCTAAAGCGTAGAAAGGTAACATGAAAATTTGTAGTTGAATTGATTTCACAGTAAAAAAGGAGATGCATGAAAAACCTCTCAGAAGGAAGAAGCAGCCATAACCTGCATATCACACAAAAGCTGCCTCTGAAAGATACAGATTGTGGCGCTCATTTAAGTTATGCCTCAACTTAAGTATATGCAAAATTTTCACACTAGCCACGAGGCAATTGTTAGAATGGGGCTGATGACGTTCTACGAAGCTGATATTTCGGCTCAGGAGGAGGAGCACAAGGCGGCAGCATCTCCAGCTCCTAAGAATATTAAAATAAGAAACCAAGAATGAAAATAATACACCGATGAATAAAAAGTACATACATATATGACTTTCAAATATATTAACATGCATGCATTACACGTAACAATATTTATATATGAAAACATGAATGAAAACTATACAAAGAAGCAAAAGTGAATTGAAGGAGAGATTTTCGGAAAGATTAAAACTTCTTCAATACCATTTCTTCTTGTCTTACTCCCTAACCAAAATAACAAGTGATAGGAAAGCAAACTATATCTTACAATGATGAGTGATGACCAAACAAGAGGACATAGCATCCAAACCAAAAAAAGAGGGAAAATTTTGTTTTTACAAGAGGAAATCTGACTAAGCATCGTCAGTATCAGAAAGAATACAATTCGCAAAATGTAACATCACCCCCATGCCAATTTGTCATCTTTTACTGACAGCAAAACTGATAATTTGAGAACCGAGAGTTGCAATATCACAAGATTACTAATATTTTCTTTTTAATAGGTGTTAGCCTTGTAATAGGGTTAGAATTCAGGGGTGCCACTTTAGTGCTTTTATTTGTTCACTTATGAAAAAATACAAATAGACATATTAGAAGATCACTGAAATTCTAAATTCTAATCTCAGTTGATTGGCCCAATTTAAAGTGCAAGTTAAATTAGGTCAGCTTAGACAGGTGAATTGCATGAGAAGAATGAAAGAGAGGAACAAGGCAAACCAACAATTTATCCTTTTGTCCATTAACAAAGGCATTTATCAAGCCAAAACCCCCAGGAAAGGATAGCAGTTTCCACAATTGACGGAAAGTGTAGTTTCAATGTTTCAATATTTCCAGGGAGTGGGATGTCCCAAATCAGGAAAAGTAGATTGTACAGAGTGCAATGTGCAGTATGGTTTAGAGCTTAATTGGATGAGAAAGAAAACATCCGTTTGGCAGTGGATCTAAAATGGGAAAGTTTGAAATTTAAGGGTTGAAAGAACAAAAACAAGGAAACAAATTCAGCTGCTGTCGGCAGCTGTTTCTTGTACTTTGCACAGTAAATTAAGGATCTCAGGTTTAGTCTGTTGGTAAATTGGTTTGATCAGCATAAGGGTTTGTAGGAGGGATTCAAGGTTGAGGGATTTGTGTAGGACGGTGAAAGTTTAGAATTACTGAGCACCCTCACTTTGCATGGAATTGAGAGTTGAGATTCAAACTTGGAAACTAAGAAGAATAAAAACCTAATAACATAAATAAATATATATATATAATCTGAAAATTCCAGCTATTCTAAAATTAACAAGAAGACTAACACTTAAAACTAAGAAAAATGAAAACAGAACAGCACCAACAACCTTGTGCGCTAAAAAACATAAGAATATAACTTGGTTGGATGTAGCCTAACTCAAATGAACAGATTGGCTGCATGAAAGATTTGGGACTTTAGTGTTCGAGACAGAGATTAAGAGTTTGCGAAGGAAGACCAATATAGGAAATGTTAACATCTGATAGAGAATAACATCTAATGGCAGATTTGGCTGAGCATGGTAGAGGATATGATTGAAGGTTCAGAAATGTTGTTTTTTTTTTTTTGGGCTATGAGCAGCACTCTTTAACTTTTTCAGAGAACAGTAATTAGGATTTAGCAAAAGGTAGGATTAAAACCCAATGAAGAACATGATTATGGTAGTTCACTACTTTGGACCAATCAAATGAAGCAGAACAAACTTTGAATTCTCATAAACCAACAACCCTAGCTAAATTGAAGAATGCATCAAACTTAACTTAGGATACTGAGATACAGCATTCTCAACTAGGAGTAGAAGCCCTAAATCAGGAACTAATAAAACAAAATTTGTGCAATACATTGATCACACTAATAACAACAAAGTAAATTAGAGGACTAAACCTAACTAATAACTCATTTTAGAGATATCAAAGTTTCCAATACAACTTTGTGTATGGAATAAAAAGCAAATAAAACTATGCGATTGGCAAAAAGCTGTCCTACAGCAAGATTTATATATCTTCTGGTAAAATTCATCTAAGAGTGTCTCTAGCAACTTTTTAAGAAACAGTTCATCCTAAATCATCATGATAAAGGTCTCTATTAAGTATTATATCCATATTAGTTTAGTTAGAGCTTGCTAGGCCCTTATATTCAGGGTGCCCCCCAACCTCTTGCTATTTGGTTTTACTTTGAACACTAACATGCTATCACATCCAAGATTCTTTGTTGCCCCATTTTTGCTAGTGTTTGCTACCCTCATTTCTGTAATCTAAATGATAAGCTTAATTGTCTCAATTATTAGTTTTGGGTCTATATGTAAAGGGAGAGTTAGTTGGTGTTATCCATGGTAGTTAAGATTGGACACTGTTCTGGCCCTATATTCAAGTTGGTCTCTCCAGTCTCCACCTATTGGAAGTTTGTTCGAGGTTGAATAACTTACAATCTTAAAGGATACCAAGCATGGGAAAGTGAACATATTTCTTGGTAACAAGTGCACCAACTAAAATTTTCACTTCCCTTTCACTGGAAATGGGTTTTATGTTACAGACAGGAAGATAATTGCTAAACTAGTTTTCTATCAGAAGTTTTCAACATACTTATTACACACAAAAGAAGACAAGGATATATACATAGATAATGGTTAAAAACCTTGCTTTAATGCCACAGACTGTTTTATCATAAATGAAAAGTGTTACGTCATGCACACTTCATGGTGTCGACAAGCAACCTAAGGTAGCACCTACCAACCGACAAGCTGGATGCAAAGACTTCACCATTGCCAGGTACTACATGATAGGATAATGGAAAGGAAAGCAGGTATGTGATTTAAATGGAGCCTGCCTCTTAGTTCCATTCAGGGCTTAATAAACTTTTATTTCTATTTCCTCCAAATATTGTGTTCTATTTAGGTTATGAGAAAAGGGAACAAACATAAACATCATGATCTAACTGACAAAGAACAAATGCAACCCAACTAGGTGATACCATTAATATCATACAACTGATATCGCACACTGACAAAAAGCTCAGTTCTCTAAGCTGTCGAAGTGCTTAAAATCATCCATCAATCATGGAAATCCTTAAGTTAAAGGAACAATTGGCCATATTTAAGTTTTAAGGGTTATGTACACATTTGCAAGAGCTGTGGAAATGAAGGAACTTAATCTAATAAAATGGTTCAATAGTCCACAACCCAAATTTGAATAGAGTATATAGACATAACGTATACAGGTTATCAACTAAAAAACATAAATAAATAAAGAGGTATGGGGAAAAACACAAACACAAACATATTAATTTTGATTTTTGAGTAAGATAAAGTCTATCATTTTCTTCAAAGAACAGGTTGAACAAAAAAATGCAACTATTATGCCTTAAAAACAAAAAGGTGTTTCAAGATAGTCAAATTAATAGAAATGAATCAGGAAAGTATCTTATAAGACAGATCTAACCTTCCGTTTCCTCAGCCTTTCATTTTCCTCTTGTAGACGTGAAACTTTGTTCTCCAATTCATTAGTGTAAGCCTGTTTCTAAGTAACTTTCACGTCACTAAATAATTTAGAAAAGAAGATAATAAAACATTTGAAAAAAAAAAAGAGATGCAAAAAGAACAGCATCACTGTCAAATTTGAGAAATAAAAACAAATGAAACCTAACCTGCTTCCTTGCTCGTGACCGCGCTGCAGACTCCCTGTTCTTTATCATCCTCTTCTGTCTCCTTTCAACAATTTTTTCAACCATGTCAGCAGGGGCACCCCTTTTCCTTCCAGATTCTTGTGAATCTGATAATGCTCCCATCAAAGGTGAAGGCAATGGCACCTGGTTCTCTGGGTAAGAGACATCCATTACAGCAGTGGCCCCTATAGCTAAAGGCTGTGGCAGAGGCTGAGCTGGCATATAAGCCCCCATCATACTTTGTTGTGGATGCTGATATTGTGGCTGTGGGTACTGCATCCACTGACCTTCTTGTGCAAACTGAGGCGCAACACTTAGATCAACCCCAGTAACAGATCCACCGCCTTTTTTATCCGTAGATGCATCAACAACAACTCCTGCTTTCACAAGAAAATCCTCCAATGTCATTTCTCCAAGGGTAGGCTGCCTTTCTCTAGATTTCTTTTCCCCATCATTTTTGCTCTGTTGAATATCTTTCCAAACCTCATCAACTGTCTTCTTGCTCAAAGCACTAGTTAATGACAAACTTGCCTGACGCTGCAAAGCAGTTTGATTGGTCAGTGTTGTGCCTTCAGTTTCCATACCAAAATTCTGGTTAGCCTCAGCTGTCCATACATTCTTGAGAAGCTCATCTAGGTTCATGCTACTCAGAGGTTTTCCCAGGTCACCTAACTGATTTTGAACCTCATCCAGCGTGAGACTATACATTGAATTTTGCCGTGTTAACTGCTGAAACTGTGACTGTTTGCCATTACTACCACTATCATCTTGAGACCCCACTGTCTGAATTTCCATGGAATTACTTTTACTTAAGCCACTTTTTCCAAATTCCCAGACAAAAATTCCTTAGCCAACGACGACATCAATCCTAAAGTTCACCTGATACCCACCTGAATGACTAAACACCTGAAGCTTCATCAGTCAGCCCTGAAAACAAGAACCTGAAATGCTGAAGTCTGAATTTAAACCCAGCCATTCATTTCAACTATCTTCAGTTCAAATGATAGGAAAACATCTTTCTCATATACCTAACAAGTTTATATGAAGACAAAACTAAATAATTATCTTCTTCTCTTAAAAGTAAATGATATTATCAAATGCACAGGGCAGACCACTAACTTCCCTCTAATACAAAGTTCTTGAAATCCAAACCCTGCATTGGATAAACTAAAATACCCAAAAGACTAATATAACAAATCCCACCTCAAAAAACCAATAAAAAGTACGATTTTCCTACAAAACTAAGGAAAAGAACGCAAAACCCTAAAATTACAAAAGAATCCACATTTTAACAGTCATTCAAAAAGAACCCAGAAGGCAGAAAGCAAAAAACTTGAGAAGAAAACAGTAAAGAAGCAAATCAGACCCAGTAATTCACTGTCATCAGATACACTAAAACTGGGGCAAAAAGAAACGAAAAAAATTGGTGTGAAAAATACTAAAGAAAATTTAAAAAGAATAGAAGATTAAGGCCAATAGCGTTATAATCTGTTGCAAGCAAATTGAAATGGCACAACTTTAGCGTCCATAGACCAAATAAAAAACAAAAAATTTTAAAGAATCATAAGCATTACTAAATCCTCAGATTATAACACCATTAAAAAGAAAAGGATGAGCGTTTTGCATGAAACAAAAACAAAGACTTTAAAATGAGAGCTAAAAAGAAAAATATTGAAACAAATCGAAATGAAAATACAAATAAAAACCCAGACGAGGATCAAAGCTGAGGATTTTTCTTTATTACAAAACAAAGACCGAGAATAATAAAAAGTACCAAGAAAAGCAACTGTCAACAACAAGAAGAAGAAAAAGAATAAAACCTTAAAAAAAAGTAAAAATGAAATGCAGAATTTAAAAGGAAATTTAAAAAAAAAAAAAGTAAAGCTTACTTGGATTTACAGAGACTTGAGATTAAGGGCGTGTGCATTTGCAGAGGAACAAAGCCCTGTTGGAAAGAGAGAAGAAAGAGAAAGTCCCAAAATAAGTTTAATTTTTATACTAAATATATGTAAGGACCAAAGTGTTTTAATTGGCCCAAATATTTTTGTTTTATTTTTAAAATATGGTAAAATGACACTCATGGAGTCAAGGACCTGGGGTTGTCCCCTCTGGAAATCATGAGACCTCCCACAGGCCGCAGCCGAATGGCTCTTTCGCACGCCAATGCAAAGAGCCTTCTCTATTTCTTTCCGTATTTTTTTTATATGGTTAAATGATAGTTTGTTAATTTGAAATATATCCAAATTCATATCTGAACTAAAAAATATAAAAATTGCTACCTAATCTTTTAAATTACGTAATATTTTGAACAATCAATTAATATGGTGAACTAATTTATTCAATTAACATTTGATGAATTAAATAAAAATATAAAACACGTGTATATCATATATGAAATAAAAAAAAATTTAACAAAATTTTAATGTATCAGTGTGAAACAAAAAAATATAAAAAATAATATTATCTGAATATCTTAAATAATTTTTATTTTTAAAATAATATATAAAAAAAAATTTAAAAATAGAGAGAGGGGAAGGGAGAAATGGTGAGGCCGTGAGAGAGGAAGTGGCGAAAAAGATAAATGTTTCAAAAATTATGTTTTTAATACCTAATTTTTTTATATTTTAACATTAAAAATCATAACAATCAAAATCAAATTCTATGAAGATAACTTAAATTTTAATATAAAATATATTGAGATTAATATTTTTTTAGAACTTTGGAAAGATCAAATGCGACAATGAATTTGAGAAGGATAGAGTATAATATTTTTAATTTTATTATTTACATGCTGAAACTTAGAACTTTGTAAGAAAATTTTATTGTCCAAATGAAATTATATTATTTTTAAACTTCAATATTTACCATATAATAATTAATTTCGAGTTTGAATTAGGTTTGTCCATCAATTTTGAGCCAAATTTGGGTTATCTCATCTAAAAGTATTATTTTATTAATACGTGATATATTTTTATGTAACTTTAAATTTTCAAATAGATTTAATATTTAAATAAAATTTCAAATTTTATTTTAAAATATAAATAAATCTTCAATCTTTTATTGCATGAAATTAAAATTATGAGCTTTTATTTTCTTGTAATCATACTTATTAAATCCTAAAATTAGATGAATAATATCTAATTGATAAAATTTTGAAATAGTATTCTCTTAAATTTTTTTCATTTATTTCATTCAAATAAGTCTAAATAAATATTTCTACAAATTAAATCATCAAATTAAAAAATTTAAATAAAAAATTAAATACTTTATGCTGTCAAAATTATAAGTACAATAAAATAAAATTTTATAATTTTAAATTCATACAATAAAAAATTAAGAGCTTATTTATATTTTAAAATAAAATTTAAATATTTATTTAAATATTATACCATTAAAATATATACAATGTAAACTCCACTCAAGGAACAAACATTTTCACATCTAAATTCATAAAACAATGATCTTGACAACTCAACTGAATGTTATTGGGAGCCACAACACATGGCATTGTCTCACACGCTCCATTGTATTTGATTAAAACAATTATGTCTCGGCAGGTTGAGTCTTAACTCTTCGACAACATCATGCTTTTAAACCCTATGCCTACGTGTCCATAAACTCAAAAGGATGAAACCCCAATTCCTTGGCCAAAGCTAACTTGATGGCTAATGGCTTTTCGATTATTTCGTCTGATATTTTTTAGTTGGAGTAATGATGCAATTGCGCACAAAATGTCACAATGATATATATATTTTTAAGATTATAATTATAAATAAGTAATATATTTATATAATCAATTAAATAATCAATTATTATATAATATAATCAAATTACTATCATGAATAATTAACTAACAAATTAAAACATAACTAAATAATTAAATCAACTCACAATAAAATTTAAATCTAAAATCTTACATAGGATGATAATTATCTTAAATTATGTTTGATTTGTATATATTAAAAATAGATAGAAATACAAAGAAGATTATCATCCTTTTAATATAAAATTATTCAATATTCACAAAATAAAAATGATTATTTTTAATCAACGAGATTAAACTTACATATTTTATTATACCCTTAAAAATCACATCAATAATTTAAATTATATAAATTTTAAGAATAAATCATTTTAATTAATAAATAATTTATCATATTATAATCTTTACACACATCAAATATAAAATATAATGACATTATTTAATTTAATCATATTCATAATATTATTTTATTTTTATTATATATAATTTTATGTATTAACTATGACATCAAAATTTTAGGATATCTTTCTTGTCATTAAGTCAAGACTTCGTTGATTATGATAATTATTTTATTTGCGTGATTAAAGCTAAATTCCTCATTATATTATTATGGATCTATGTTAAATTTTATTATTCTACTCCAATTTCAAGCTACAAAGTTAGTCTAATTGGTAAAAAGAAAAAATCATTTTCTTTGTCAATCAAGATAACTTTTATGTTTCTCCAAAAAAGGATTTGAATTTTATGGGTACGTTTCGAAAAATAATCTTGAATGTATTAGGTTGATGCGAAAAACTATGTCTTTAATATCACTCAAGAATGAATTACATCCAAGCAAAATTGAGGACACCTTGAATATATTGCCAAAATAAAGTATTTTAATTTTATTACAATTTTTATAATTATACTTTTATTTTTATTGTTTTTAAAATATAAATAAATTTAACGTAATTTATAATTTGCATTAATGGAGTTTTCAAGAAATATTTTAATTTTATTACATTTTATACAAAAATCAATAAAATTAAAAATATAATGATAAAATTTAATATTATAAAATAGTATAATGATAAACTTAATCTTCATTAATTCCTTTAATTCTTGCATTAGTTAGAATTTTTTTGATTTCGAGATATCACACATTTTAATGTTTCTCTTATCAATTACCACGTGATTATTACTTTTGTGAATCTGTCACTAAATGAAAGTAAAATAAAACATTTGATCCATTTAATTAATTTAATTTAAAATTCGAAAACCAACTAAATCAGTTTCATGCATTGAGAAATGAAAACCGATTAACAGGTTGAAAATCGAAATTAACCGAACTAACTTAGGTCCGCCAATTTCGTGACTTTTTCAGTTCTGAGCAATGAATGTATACTAGGTAAAGCATATTGAAATTGCTTAGCAATGAATTTTCATAGCCACGAATATTAAAAATAAGAAAAACTCAAATGTCTTTAAAATTAATTAATAATACACAGGACAGATCTTTAAAATTAATTAAAGTTGCAAAACAACTAATAACAAATCTCAATAAGCAATTTGTTCAACATATATAGAAATTATTAACAAATCATCAATTAAAAGAGGAAAAAATACCTGTTTCTTGTTCTGTTGTTCACAAGGAAATACAAAAGCCCAGTTGACCTTTGATTAATGGTGAGCCGTGGAGGACTTCTAGTGGAGCTGTGGAGTTATGCTGTGGACTGGTGGTCATCCGTGATGGTCGTGCCAAACTTGGCTGAACGGCTGTTGAGTTTCGTAACTCGAAAGTTAAAAGACGAAGAGGGTGAAGAGTTGAAGACACCAAGAATGGGAGATAGCGTGAAGAGAGCTGGAGAGATCAAGAGGCGAAAGTGTAACAAGGGTTGGATAGGCTACTGGTGAGAGACGGACGAAACAGTTAAAGAGCTGTAAATGAACTGAGCCGAACCGAATACTCTGTTGTTGAAGTTTGGTTCGTTAAACTTTGACAAGCTCGAACAAATTTTTTGTTGAAACTCTGTTCGTTTATATTTATCGAGCATTTAGTCGAACACAACCGCATTACGACCTCCTTAACTATACCATTGAGAATAGCAAAAGAAAAACCACTTCAATATTAACAAGAAACGTTCAATTCCAATAAGAGGGACTTATTTCCACTTAAAGCCAATTGTCTAGTTGGCCAACGTCAGACATCTTTTCAAAAGTTTTCACTTCCGTTTGAGCGAGGGCTTTGCAAAGGTTATTTATAGATTCGTTTTTCCTCTTATATTGATGTTGTATCGATGTGGGATAGCTGTTAAGGTAAACTTTTCTTTTTTCAAATTTCTACATTTAAATTAATTTAGTTAAGCATTTATTTTTAAACACATATAAAATAATGTCATAATAATATTTTTAAAAAGTTAGGGATAATTTTTGTTTTGTCATATATAATTTTTAATGATATAAATTTTATATGATAATTTATAAATATTAAAATATATTAAAGATGAAAATTGTCAAGTTTTAAAGATTTAAATGAATTACAATTAAATTCATTCATGAATATTAAACAAATTTATTCATAAATATAAATGAATTAAATAAACCTCTATTCATATTCAATTTATTTATATAAACAAAATATATAAATATTATTCAATATTATTTATTAAACTTAATAAATAAATATAAATAAATAAAAATCAAATATATTTACGCGCGATTTGTTAAAAATCCTGATTATTTATATCCTTAGAAGCAGTGGTGGAGAGGGAGTGTGAGGAGGCACAAGGAAATGCCGAAATGTTAGGAAAGTTTAAGGGGCTAGTGTTTCCTTTTAATAAAAGGAAAATGTTGTAAAGTAAAAATATAAAATAAAAATGCAAAAAGGGTAAAATAAATTAAATTTTTGACTAATTCGGTTCCTTAAATCTAACACTGCAAATCGATTGTTCTAACTACCTAAACCGATTGCTTAATTGAAATATTGATAAAAATTGAATGATTTGATTTGATTTATCTAAAACAATCGACTTTGGTCAATTTTTCTAGTTTAAATTGATTAATGCTTTGCCCTAGATGAAGGAAAGACTACATTTCCCCTGGCGAAGAAGCCTTATTGCAGCCAATTGGTAACATATGGCCATGCCACCAAAGTGAATGCAAATGAAATATTGGGTGAATGCAGTGACACTAATAACTCTTGGGTCACATTTGGACTTTAGATTTTGAAGTAAATTATTGTTATTTTTGTAAAACAATTAAATTATTGTTTTAAAATATATTGCTGTTAGAATTTTTAAATTTTGTAAACATGATCATATATGAGATAATGTTGGATCTTTCATAATATAACTTTTCCTACTTGAGTGAGACTAGGCTCATTGTGATTGTACTTGTTTGGATTTCACTAAATCAATTAACATCAATACCTCAATACCTATATTTTATAAATATA